AGAGGTGAATACAGAATCAGCCAGAAATCTTAAAAATGAAAAATATGTTCATTGACATAAAAATGCAATAGACGGCATAACTTAAAATTAGGCAATTTCAAGGAGAGGATTAAGGGAGTTGGAAAGTAATATTAAAGAATTCTCTCAGGAAAAAAAATCACAAAGTGTAAAATATATTTTTAGAAAATGAAACAGCAGTTGAGATACGGTAAATTGACTAGGAAACACCAAAATATATCTTATAAGAATCCCAGAAGAAGAAAATGGAGGTAATAACAAAGAAACGATAAAGGAAAAAAAATAGCTGAGAATTTTCCAGAATTAGAGTCCTGAGACTAGAAAGTATATCCTGAGTTCATGACTGATAATTCAAAATAAATCCACATCTAGACACATTTCAAAGAAACCATAAGACATCAAGGATATAGAAAAACTCTTAAAAGCTACCAGAGGGAAAAGGCAGACTACCTACAAAGAGATGAAAAATAGATTGATAGCAGATTTCTCGTAAGTAATGAGAGTTGACAGAAAAATAGTCTAAGATACAATTGAATAATATCTTCAAATGGGGATCAGAAATACCCAGATTAATTGTTATTTAAGATAAAATATAAAGAAACTTTTAGGTACACACAAAGAGTGTACCACCCAGTGCCCTCTCTAAAGAATTACTACAAGATGTGATTCACCAAGAAGAGTGAAGCCAGAAAGGAAGGCACAGCACCCAAGAATAATAGGGGGCACAGTAATGACCAAAACATATGAACAAATATAATTAAGCATTGACGATAAAAAATCAATGACAACTAATTTTGTATAATTTTAAAACAAATAGGTAAAACTAAAACTCCATTCAACAATTACTATACCAAGATTGATACTCAGTAAGTAGATAAAACATGCTAGGCACCATTTTTACATTAAGGAGAAAGCTAGAAATACTAAAAAGTAGATTTTGTTTATTTATTTATTTTGTAAGGAAGATTTGCCCCGAGCTTACATCCATTACCAATCCTCCTCTTTTTGTCACTTGAGGAAGATTGGCCCTGAGCTAACATCTGTGCCAGTCTTCCTCTATTTTTTGTACATGAGACGCCTCCACAGCACAGCTGATGAACAAAGTAGGTCCACACCCGGGATCCAAACCTGCAACCCAGGCTGCCAAGGCAGAGCTCCTGGAACTTTAACCACTCAGCCAGGGGGCTGATCCCATGGATTTTATTTTTAATTAGAAAAATATGTAGTTAGGTATACACTCAAAAATTTTAGCATAAGCACTAAAGAAACAGATAAGCCACCTATAGATTTCAAGCCCAGCAGTAAAATCCATGTCATAAGAGACATTTCAAAAAATTTTTTTCATTTAAAACCATATAAAACACATCCTCTTAGTATAGTGCAATTAAATTTAGAATCAGTAATAAAAATAGAGAAATATATGCTTAGAAAGTAAAAAACATACACTTCTAAATAATTCAATGGTTAAAAATAAATCAAAACAGACATTACAAAATATTTAAAACTCAGCAAAACTACATTATCAAAATATGCTATGCAGCTAATGAGAAACTTGAAAAAGAATTTGGAGACTAAAACTCATTTGTAAAAATAATAAGTATTGAAATTTTAAACGAGTAATAATTCCACTCAGGAATCTAGAAAAAGAAAAATGGCTTAAACTATAAAAAAGTAGAATGAAGGAAATAATGTTGATAAAATCAAAAAGTAATAAAATAGAATACAAAGACACAATAAGGGAAGTAAGCAAAATCAAATGCCAGTTTTTGAAAAAAGTAAATGAAAAAGAAAAATGTTAACAACTAGTAAGAGAAAAGGCTGAGATAAATAATGTTAGGAATAAGAGGGCACATAATTAAAGATAAAATAAAAAATCATAAGACTCTTATGAACTTTATCCAAATAAATCTGAAAGTGTAGATTGTTAATTGCATATTTTTCTTAAAAAAAACTTCCTAAAATTGCCTTAAGATGAAATAGAACACTTGAATAAACCAATAACCATGGAAGAAATTGAACTGATAACCAAAAATTCACCCTATACTACCTACCCCCTACTGACACACAATACCTGGTCCAGATGATTTTGGAGGCAAGTTTAACCAAACTTGCAGAATAGATAATCCCTATAATATAATAACTGTTTTGGAAATAGAAAAAGGAAGGAAGGAAGGAAAGAAGGGAAGAAGGAAAGAAAGAAGGAAAAAGAAGGAAAGAAGGAAAATGCTGATTAATTTATTTTATGAGGCTAGTATGATCATAACACCAAAACTCTACATTAACATTTTAAGAAAGAAAATTAAAGACTAATCTCTCCATGTAAACATACTACGTCCATAAAACATCAGCAAATTAAACTCAACAGTGGGTTAGAATAACATACCGCAGCAAGTAAATGTTTTTTTCCAGGAACGTAAGAAATGTTTAATTATCAGGAAATGTATTAATGTAATATAAAATATTAACATATTATTGGTAAATTTTATCATATTATTGGGAAAATGCATTAGATAAAATTCAACTAGTATTCCTGATTCAAAATGCTTAGCAAACTATAAATAGATAGTGGGAGCTTCCTTAACACAATAATTTTGATTTACCAAAACCCTAAGCAAATATCACATTTCCAAAACATTTCCATTAAAGTAAGAAACAGAACACATATTCCTAATATCACTGCTTCTATTCAACACTTTATAGAGCTCTTAGTAACGCAATATGACAGGAAAAAGAAATTGAACATTTAAGAATTGGAATGTAAGAGAAAAGCTGTCATTATTTACTGATGATTATATGTCTATGTAAAAAGCCTAAAAGAATTTCTAGTTTAGCCATTAGAACTAATGAGAGTTCAGCAAAGTTGCTGAGTATACGCTAATAATAACCAATAAACAGTGAAATGAAAAACAGATTCTATGCATAAAAGCACAAAAACCTAAGTTATATGAGAAGAAATCTAACAAAATAGGTTCAAGCAAGACCATTATGGTGAAAATTATAAAACATTATTAAAGAACATGAAGGAAGATCTGATTAAGTGAAGGGATATAGTCTGTTAATGGATAGAAACACAATGCTATAAAAAAGTGAATTCTCCCCCAGATTATTTCATAAAGTTAATGTAATTACAAGTAAAATTCAGCAGGGCTTTTGCCAAACTTGACAAACTAATTCTAAAATTCTTATTGAATAGCAAAAGGCCAAAAGGAGCCAGAGAATTAAAGAACAGTGTAGAGAGATTTACCATACCAAATAACAAGAATATTATAAAAGTATGGTAATTAAGGCACTATCATGTTAGCGCAAGAACAGAGAAACAGTCCACTGGATGAAATAAAGATCCTAAAAACAGATTTGATGTAGGCAAAAGATGGCCTTGCAAATTCGTGGGTAAGGATGACTAATTTGTTAAATGGTGCTCGGATAATTGGGTTATCCACACGGAAAAAGAATAAAATAGAGTGAGCGTAAGATACCATCTACAAAAATAAATGCCAAGAAGATTGGAGAGCTAGATATAAAAGGCAAAACTTTAAAACTGTCAGAAAATATAGGATGACCTTGTCATATGCAGGGATTTCTTAAATGACATAAAAGCAGAAAACGTGAAGGAAAATATCAATAAACTACTTTAAAATTAGAAGCTTTTAAAAATAAATGCTACTATAGACACAGTTAAAAGAGAAACTACAAATTGGAAAAAAATATTTGCAATCTATATTGCCCACAGGATGAGAATCCAGAATATTACAATAACAACCAAAACCAAAACCAGAGCTGTCTAAAATCACAACAGCAAAGCAAATAACCCAAGAGAAAGATGGACAGACATACAAATAGGCAAGGCACATGAGGAAATCCCAATAGTTTGTAAGTGAAAAAATGTTTAAATGAGATATTATTTAATCCCCATCAGGCTGACAAAAATTTTAAAAGTCTGGCCATTCCAAATGTTGTGAAGTATATGGAGGAACTCTCATAGCTTGCTACTGAGAATAAAATTGGTATTACCACTTTGCATCATTTCTCATCAGCACTCCCTCCTCTGTGTATAAACATGTATAAAAATGTTAACCGCAGTATTGGTTGTGATTGGGAAACATTGGAAATAATGTCTAATAATGAGGGACACAATAAATAAATTTTACTGATATGTACGGTTGGATATATTATATGAGTCATAATATATGGCTTATGTAAAACTAAGTCATGATGATAGAGGCCAGAATAGTTTTACTTGTTTTTAACCTTTCATTAAAGCTTTGGAGAATATCACCTCTAAGGAAGCATGAGGATTCTTCCCAGGTATTGTGAATACTTTGTATCTTGGATTGGGTGTGGTCACATGGATAGAAACTTACACAGAAGCTCATCAAGCTATACACTTACTTTAGGTACTTTACTGTATGTAACTTATAATGGAATAACTGAAGATAAAAATGGGTTCAGAAATAAATGTTCCAAATTAATTAATATCTGTTTAACTTGGGTTCTGGATTCTTGTATGTCCACATTATCCTTTATATTTTCATATGTTTGAAATATTTTACATAAAAAAATTGATGACAAAGACAACTGCTTTTCCTAACTCGAATCAGCCGCAGTAAAAGAAAGCACTAGAGTCATCGTCTCTGCCCTGTTGCTGACAAGAGATCCCAATATTCTAGGAATCAGTAAGCACTTCGGAGCCACACGTGCTCACAAAGTGATCATTTTGTTGAATCAAAAGCAAAACTTTCGCTTCACTTCTTGACTACATGTAGAATCTAGGCTTTCTTAAGCGAGTGACCAGCAGCATATATTGTTGCTATGATGCTACCAGTGCACAAAGGTCATCCATTCATTTAGGTTTCTCAACTGACGAAGTGGGGAACGCATTGCCAAGGACTTTTCTGACGTGGATCAATAGGTGGTTTGGCATCAATATGGCTATTTGTTCGTAGGTTTCACCTCTGGTTTCAGAAAAGAAAAAGAGACGATACCTTTTCAATGCTGTATTTCAAGTCGACCATATGGAAAGCAAGGTTTTATTCCAGCCAATTCTCTTTCTCTCAAAACGTGGAGGAAAAGTGCCAGCCACTGCTACTCTCGCCACCAGCCACGGTACAGATGTTTGGAAAACGCAAAAACAGAGAAATGAAACAAAAAGAAAACCCTCAAAAATAAGTTTTGCATAAATGAAAAACAGAGTATATAATTATCAGAGCTGCAAAAAGGTCAACACATTTATTTTTCTCCTCATGTTAAACGAAAAGAACCCAAACAAATAAAAACATTGATGTTTTGACTTAATCGGTATTTTGTTGAAACTGACAATTACAAGGACCAACTCAAACATGGTTAAAAGTGGGAATAAAAACCAGACTTCTTTTAATCTGATAAAAGATTTTCTATCTCCAAGAATGTTAGAATATGACCTACTTAAATGAATACTTATTAAAGGAGCAGACCTGTTAAAAAAATATATGTTTTCAGTTGCCAAAATGGGAATGGAAAAAGTGTTTCTTTGAAATCTTGTAAGAGAAAAAAGTTAATTGAAATTATAATCGTTCCTTACAGGGGGCCGGCCCCATGGCTGAGTGGTTAAGTTTGCACACTTTGCTTCAGCAGCCCAGGGTTCACTGGTTTGGATCCTGGGCCTGGACCTGGACCTACACACTACTCATTAAGCCATGATGTGGCAGCGTCCCACATGGAGGAACTAGAACGACTTGCAACAAGGATGCACAACTATATACTGGGGGGTTTGGGGGAGAAAAAAAAAAAGAGGAATATTGGCAACAGATGTTAGCTCAGGCCAATCTTCCTCACCAAAAAAAAAAAAAAAAAAAAAGAAACAGTTCCTTACACAACTCAAATAAAATATAGCTTAGGAAGAAATGTCTCCGAACTGTTGAAATGTCCACCCCTAAGTTGGCTTAGCTAGTACATAGTTCCAGTTATTCCAAAAGCAAATGCCTTATTAGATTTAAGCACATCAATGTAAATTATTCAAATGAGACTGTCTTTGTTTAAAAAAAAATTAAAAAACATAATGGAATTTTTGAAGGAGTATTGCTTAAATTGAAAGTCAGACCTCGACTTAGGCCCAGCTCTGCCACAATCCTGGTGTATGTTCATATTATTAAACATCTTTGGCCTCAGTGTCCATCTGCCTAAAGTTCGAGTGTGATACAAAGTCACAGCCCTGTCATCAAGCCTCTTTCCAGCCCTAAAATTCTACGAATCTAATGCAATTACTCCAGCAGAAGAATTTTTCTTTTCTTCCGTCCTTTCTTGCTTTTTTAAAATAAACAATCAAGTAAGTAAGTAAACATAAATATATATTTTTAAATTTAAATGTTTTATTTCATCATCAACTGATGTGGAAAATGCTTCACTTTCTGGATGAATATATACATACATCTCAGCACAGGATGAGCGAGAGTTAGCAGTGGCACCAAACATTTACTTTACAGCTGTTAGAGCTTACCTCTCAATCCTGACCTCTAAGATAGAAAGCACAGCCTGTATGTAAGTCTGTTCCACTTGCTACTGATAATCAAAATCCTGTCCTAACCCACACAGTAACCCCATAGGCAGACGCTGTCTCATACACACTTCATCTCCTGTATTTACTCTTCAAGGGAGTAAATATACATTAAAAACACACACCCTAGCCTAATCAGCCACCCCTCTGAATAGGAAGTGAGAACCATTTTTTTGTTGCCATTATCTATTCCCCAATGTGTATTTAAACAGAGAGTTTTTATCTTTTTCCTGAATCAAAAATAGCATATCATTTCTTTGCCATTTAAGTTCTATTAAGAAACACAAAATCATTACAGAAATCCTATTAGGAACTTTAAAAAGAAAGAAAAAGTCACGAAAACGCCATTTAAAATTCAAATTGTTCGTTTACATGTTTGCAGTGTCCCCTGAAACCTTCCCTTCCTTTTCCAGGGACAAGATCCTTAACTGTCCTGTGGAGCACAGGACCGGCTCCTCACGCCCTGCCCACCTGGCTTCTGAGCAAACACAGCCCAGGTATAGATTACAGCTTGAGATACTTGGGATGGGAGTAAAGCATTTCATCTGGGAGACAGTACTGTGGTCGATTTGCCAAATCTAAAAGAAAGTTAAGCCCCATCACTACGATGGCAAGAAATTCGGGTTCTCAAGGCTGAACAATGATAATCATTTTTACATAAGACTTTAAAGAAATGAAAGCGCCTGGGGCACCAGCCAGAAAATAAGTCTCAGAATGCAAGTTTTTCATGTCAACATTTGAACCAGATAAGACAGTATCAATGTACCCTTCACGAAGGGTCTTAGAAGAATACAGGGCACCTGACACCATGGTGAAAAAGGGAAGCTCAGCCTTATGAAAAGGCCAGTCTTAGGGCTAGCGCTCCATTGTTCCAAGTGCTGATATGCCAAAGGCACCGGCAGAGGCAGAGCACGCAGAGCAACAGGCGAGGCTCCTGTTACAGGCTCCAGCTTGGGTCTGTATGCTGATAAGCCCAGGATCACCAGCCTGCACACTCAGGGAACACCACGAGTCGGTCCCCCAGGGGAGGAGGGCTCCTCAAACAGAAAGGCAAGAGGCGGCAGTTGCACAGTGTATGAGCACTCTCTGCTGGTAGCTGAGGTTGGAGATTCGCCGGTGGGGTCCCCTAGAAGGGGCTTTCGAAGGTTTCTGTGAGGAGGCTAATGGACATACATCACTTTTCAAGGGGGGACGAGCAGGGTTCTCATCAGATTTAGATAGTTCCAGATGTTCTGCTGAATGAGAAGGAGTTTAAGAGAGGCTACTGATAGGAGGAACTCCAAGAACTGGTAAAAACTTTGTAAAGCTGGTGGACAGTTTTCAATAACTTTTCTAGTTATTAACATTTTATAAAGTATATACAGGCCTGTGTATGCACACGTGAGTGTGGGGTGGAGGGAAGCAGAAGGAAATGAATTTCTGTGCAGCTCTCTTCATCTCAGCAAAGGAATCCTTGGGACAGTCCAACGTGATTGCAACATTTATGTTTCACCAGAAAAGCCCATCTGTAACTCTGATGGAACTGCCTGACACATCCACTAGACCACCGCATCTAAGTCCTAGACTAGTGGTCTTTGTTTATCTGTAGAGGCCTGGGACAACCAAACTGGTATCTTCCCAGTGCTCTGCTCTGTTAGGGTTCTTCTCTATAATAAGATGAAGGTCAAAATGGCAGCCTGCTAAAAGCAGCAGTATTTCAGTAGCAGGAATAACTCGCTTGTCATCAACTTGCTAATGCAATAGTCAAACATTTCTTTGACATGTACAGTATCAGCTAACTTCAGCAGATAAAGGGTCTAGAAGAGGAAGATGCTGCAGATGCTTTAGCTCGGAGGAAGGCTTAGCAGAGCCAAAACGTCAGCAGGGCCTGTTTGTTCCATACTTTCCATCGGGCTCTGTGAAAGAAATGTTAGATTACTGCAATGACAAGTTTGTGACAAGCAAGTCATTTGTGCAACTGGTGCGCTCCTGTTTTTATCTGTTTACCATTCAGACTTGTGAATGCCATTTCAAGCACTTACAGGATTTCTGGCTCCCATTAAGGGGAAATGGTTCCTCCATGTTTAGAATTTTCTGCCTCAAAGAGAATTACTAAGCAATTATTTATCCCTGTGGTCACAATGTCACACAAAAGCACTCTTGAGTTGTTTAGTTGGACTCTGAGTCATGAAATGGAGTCCTGGGGACGGGATAGCTTGGAGCATCAGAAATTTCTTGTCTAGTTTATTGGAATGACTACAAAGAAAGTCTGTGAGAGTCAATAAAATTGTGGCCAGCTTGAAATACCTTGCTCTTTTGCTCTGGGATCATATATCAAGGCCATATGCTTCAAGTCACATAAACTCACTGGTAATGAGTAGGTCCTGAGAAGCCAAGCCTGACTATGTCACAGACACTGACATGTGCTCTAACACATGATAGTTTTGGTGACAAGGACCGTTCTAACTTTTGAGAAGGGAATTTGCGCAGCCTTCTCCCTCGTTCTGTGGGTAACCAGAGGGCCAATCCAAACCCAGAAAACATTTTAAGCTTGTGGTAAAAAGTAATATCATAATCTAAAATTAATACTTAGGATCATCCCCTTTAGGCTGACTTTTTCATAGCAAATGGAGACCCTGGCAGATTTCAGATCCAGAGTTCGAGATTGTCTCATTAGATACTTCATCTGAGATCACTGAGTGACTACTGGTGAGTCATTTTAACCTCCTGGGAGGAGGGTATGCAATAACAATACCTGTTCCCGCTCACCTGACGTGAATGGTCTCAGACTCAGCGTTATAAAAGATGAAGAGTGCCTTCAGAACTCAAGAACAGGAACAGTACTTCCTAAAAGTTACGTATTCTTTTCATGACTTAACATTTGTCCATTGTTGGTACTGAATTTATAAATAATCCTAGGTGTACCTCTTAAAGATCATAGAAGCATGAAGTTTTGAAGTGGGGAGACAGACTTTCACAGTATCTGGGGAAGCAGGTCAAAGCTGGAACAGAGATGGAATGTCAAGGACCAGACAGAGAGTAATGAAGTCAAATGAGGCAGAGCTTAGTATGGGTGACTAGAGAACAGAAAAATGGGTAATAGTCCTTGCTGAATAAAAATTTTATTGTTAATAATCATTTGCCAGACACTACATGTGTTACACAACTTACATGTGTAATAAAATCTTTACAACAGCTCTATGGTATATGTATTATCAATTTTTTTTTCAGATGTGGAAACTAAAACTGAGAGAAATTTAAAGACTTAACCATAAATCTACAAGTAGCAGAGATTTGAGACTAGTTTTCCCTTACTCCAAAACCCTCATACTCTTAACCACTGAAGAACTAAACGTCACTTCCACTGCCTCCAGGAGACTTGTCTCTCTAGTTTACTGGAAAACATTTTAATGTGTAAATGTAGATATTTGAGGATTTGATATAAAAAGGCCAGTGAGCCTATTCTGGCTTTAGCTGTGTTGCCATCCTTCTTAGGCCTCTGGGAAAGCTGCGCTTCATCAAGATGTCATTCCTTTTGCCCAGCCCGACCTCTGGGAAGAGGTGAAAGGGATTC